ACCTCTCTATATTTACCCATCCAGTGAGGTCAACAGCCCAAGAATGGACATAGCAAGCACGGCCTCTCCAGTATTATTTTTAGCAGGAGCTCTGTTCCTTATCCATTTGTTGGAAGAGTTTAATCACACTCAGTTACAATTCTTCACTTGTTGGAGTCCACCATTTGTGTATATGACAAGGATGTAAAGATGACACATCAGACCTGCACATGAAAAACCTACATAAAGTACATCATACAGGTAAGATTTGCCCAGATTTTATTTTTCTATATTTTTTGTTCTATATCTTTATATTTATTTGTCCGAGGCATGTAACCATTATTTTAGTTATGTTGTAGTATGTATTATGTGATGTCTTAGCTCTTAATTGAATACTATTCAATTTTGTACTGAAATTATACTGACTAATTAATGTGCTGCACTTCATTCCATATGTACGTTCTAATGCAAAAATATTATTAAAGTCTGATGAACGAAAAGTTTTTAATTTTTTTTAAATGCATCTTTGTATCCAGTGTTATCCAATAAGGGCTGTGAATGGATTTTCACTGCAATAAATATGAAAAATACCACATCTCATGGTAGTTATAATGATGCCAAACCTAGCATTACATTCAAAACAAACAGCCTGTATGATATGCGTGTTTTAAAAAAAAGATCTTACAGTGATATAAGTAGAACTATAGCTGTGATTTCATAAACAAGCTAACAAAGGGGTTTCATAAGTCTGAGGAACTACAAGTCTCATCATGACCCTAATTTGGCCAGGATATACTGGGACCTGTAGTACCTTACAAAATTAACAGCTACCCATGCTTGCTGAAAACCATCAAGCATACCTTCATGATAAAGTAAATAAATCTTATAAGTTCATAAACTCTTGCAGTTTGATTTATATTTGAGCTTTAGTACATGGGAATTTGTATGCTGCTGCCAGCTAATCATGAATTTGTGATAGATGGAAATGAATGTTAGCTGCTACTTCTAAATCCATAATTTAGATCATGCTATTATCTAAACAGTCCACTTTCAATTTCTCATGCTGCAAAGTCTGACAAGTCTTTACATAATATATACAGTAGGGAACTAAAGGTGCCAATAGACATGATAGTTAGAAGGTCTGACCCAAGAAAGGCAAATCTATGGAAAGACTGGTTAATAAAAATGAAGGTGCAATCATCTGGGGAAAGCCAAAGATGAACCAGTTAGGGGGTAATTTCACAGCTCAAACTGCTGAGCATATACAGAATTATGACCATTCCAGCCAGATTTTGAAAATGTTGATATAGACTTTTTAAAAACCTACTTACAATGAATAGCAAGTGCTATCAGGTGTCTAATACTGCATGTAATCTTTATACAATGTCCTCATAGTCTTGAAACCCGGTACACAACTACCACTCAGTTTTTTGGTCTTTTGGATCTATCTCTGTGCCCTCTCACCCCATCCATCTTACTACAGACACATCAATGTCAAGGGTGGCTGCAGGAATGAGCTGATAGACATTTAAACACTGGGTTTCAGGGGTCATATCTGGATGGTGGCACTGACCCCTCCTAGTCCAATGTGCCTTCTTGTTGGGGCCACCCATAACAATGACAGACCACTAGTAACGTGGAGGGGGTGGGAGTGTGCATAGACAAGTCTGGAAGACCAAGACACTAGGTAATAAAGAATCAGGGGTGCAGGGTCATGTGGCATTTCCATAGGACAGGAAGTGAGAGAAAATCTCCCCATGGTGACACAGTAAGAAAGATACATTTGAAATAGGTTTCACCCTTCTTCACTCTTCTAAAAGTCCTTTCAGTTTTTTTTAGTATTCTTTTTGAAGAGATTTCCTTTCATTTTCTGGCTTAACCAAACAACAAGAATGGAAATCTGTTCAGCAGGACACATGATGTATAGCATTAAAAACCTGACAGAGGCTCTAACCTTTCCATACTTTAAGTGGAACGCCAGCTGAAATCTTTTTACATTTTGGTTAAAGTCAGCAGTCATACACATAAAGTATAGGGACATCTTATCTTACTTGGGCTTGATCTTGGGAAAATCAATTAGAAAATTTGACCATATATGGAGGATACTACTGCTGACATCCTTTGTCAAAATGCTATTTTCCTGGCTGCCTTTCCCTAGCCCCTTTTTCCCTCTCCTTCCCCTCTTTTTCCTTCTCTTAACCCAATTCCAAATCTATGCCATTCCCCATCTCATTATTTTGATTACCAAGCTGACACCCAAAGTACCATGATCCCAATCCTAAAACATACTGTGTGGGGATTTCCCCTTTCCCTTTGTTTGTTATTTAACAGGAAAATCTATGTAAATTAAGGATAAACCCTGATGCAGTTGCAAATAAGATAACATGCCTGTCAAATATTATGCTAAACCACTGTTTCTAAATCTTGTTTCAGTCAAGGCACCCTTTAAAATTCCGCACAATCTTGAGACACCCCATTCTGAAATATAAAAAACAAATATAATAGCATTACATAATGCAGTGGCATCAGCACATGTAGGACACCCAACGTTGTAACTGATTTATTTTACAGAGAAAAAAACACTTTTTCACACTGGTACTGGCTAGTATTCCAGCGTTTCTCTTCTCCCTCAGTTTCTCTCCCCTCATTCAGCTAATGTGACCCTAGTGCTGATGGAAAAGGGCAAACAAGGACATCCTCAGGCACCAGATATTCTCCTTATCAACCTATGACATCATTGGTTGTTAGAATGCCAGCAGCTGGCCTGCATACTGCCCAAGGTTGTAATGCTACATGATAAAAACCTGTGGCTTTGCGTAACAAAAAATGTCATGTTTGATCCACTTGCCAGCTTGTTGAAAAATTTTTGGGCAATTTGAAGCAATTTGTAGGCATTTTGCCAAGGCACCCCTCAAGAATTAAGAAGGCACCCTGGTTGAAAAAGGCTGCTATACCATTTATAGTACTTCATCTTTTATGTTTGATCTAAACTGTTTAAGACAGATTTCTATCCCTATTTGGTAGAGTCAGAAATATTAGCTTGGCCTACTACTTGTCTACTAGCTAGACAGAATTTTCTATGAGTTAGAGAGCAACATGTCCTTTAAAACTACATAAACCTTATCCCTAAAACTGGCCATACACTGATCAAAATTTGGCCTGTTCAGCAGGAATCAGTGACATTTCAATCAGTGTGTGATCATCCCTGCTCAACAAAAGTTAATAATTTCATACAATCTTCAAGAGAGTGGGATACCTCCTACCTTCTTTGTGTGGATGGAGGAATCTGTTATTAGAAATGGTGTGTGGCCAGCTTATCTAAACAATACATGTTTGCCCAGGGGTGTAGATAAAGGGGGAGTCAGGGGGTTGCCAACCATCCCTGCAGCCCTCAAAATTTCCACTTGCTGCGAGCAGAAATAAGGTGGGGGTGGCGAGCAGTGCCGGGACTAGGGGTGTGTGGGAGGGGGGTGGCGGTGGGGGCAATGACAAGCAGAGATCTCCTGTATGGCTTTCAATAAAGCAGCGGGAAGCCACGGGAGGGAGAGGAGGTGCTTCATTGAACACCATACAAGAAATTGCTGCTTGGCAGCGCCCCCACCGCTGCACAGAACATAACTTACGGTTCAGTTTTCTTTCTGGCCCTCCCATCGCCGCTGTGTTTTTTTCACTGCCCAGCCCCTTCCCTCCATCCTCCGCACCAATAGGAGAAGAGGGGAAAAGAGACCCTCCCTTCCTTCCACCAACCCTTCCTTCCTTCCACCCACCCTTCCCTTCCGTCCACCTACCCTTCCTTCCACCCTCCCCTCCTTCTCTTCCTTCCACCCATCCCTTCCTTCCTTCCTTCCATCCACCCCTTCCTTCCTTCCTTCCACCCACCCCTTCCTTCCTTCCACCCCTCCCTTCCTTCCATCCACCCCCATCCTTCCCTTCCTTCCTTACACCCCCCTCCCTTCCTTCCTTCCATCCACCCCTCCCCTTCCTCACTTCCACCCACCCCCCTCTCTTCCTCTCTTCCTTTCACCCACTCTCCCTCCCTTCCCACTCACACCTCCCTTTCACCCACCCCTCCCTTCCTTCCTTCCATCCACCCCTTCCTTCCTGCCCCCCACTCCTTCCTTCTTTCCACTCACCCTTCTTTCCATCCACCCCTTCTTTCCTTCCACCCCACCCTTCCTTCCTTTCACCCACCCCCCCCTTACTTGCACCCACCCCTTACTTTTCCTTCCATCCACTCCTTCTTTCCTTCCTTCCACCCACCCCTCCCTTCCTTTCACCCACCCTTCCTTCCACCCACCCCTCCCTCCCTGTTTCCACCCACCCCCTCCCTCCCTCCCTTCCCCCACCCCCCCATCCTTCCACCCACTCCTCCCTTACTTCTTTCCATCGACCCCTTCCTTCCTTGCACCCACCCTTCCTTCCTTCCACCCACCCCTTCCTTGCACCCACCCCTCCCTTCCTTCCTTCCATCCACCCATTCCTTCCTTCCTTTCTACCACCCACCCTTCCTTCCACCCACCCCTTCCTTCCATCCACCCACCCCTCTCTTCCTTCCTTTCACCCACGCCTCCCTCCCTTCCTTCCATCCACCCCCCTTCCTTCCTTCCTTCCTTCCTTCCTTCCATCCTTCCACCCACCCACCCCTTCCTTCCACCAACCCCTTCCTTCCTTCAAGGGGGAGAAGTTTGTGGTGGGGGGAACGGTAAAAATGCAGCTCAGCTGCGAGCTGAACCCCCCTCAGAAAAAAAAATATCTACAGCCCTGTGCTTGCCCAACCTTTGTAACTCCAGCTGTAGTACTGCATCCAATGAACATACAGGCTCTCCCAATATGGCAACTGGAGTTTGTGACTGGACATTTCATAGTCTGAAAATTAAAAATTAAAAATTCTGTGAATGACTTGCAGTGTGCTTTGTATTACCTACAAAGCCACTGTTTTTCCTTTCTGATATGGTGCAGGGCCATGAAAACGTGTGTAATATTCTTTTTGTATTTTATCTTGTAGCTCATTTGTCCTGACAATGGTTTTCTGCAGATGTCTAAAGATGAGTGTCATGGATATCACAAAAAATTTTGCCATGTTAAAACCTAAAGAAGATGAAGAGGCATTAGAAGAAAGTCGAGAGCTACATTTGGCAGTGGCTATGGATAACCCACAATATCTAGCTTTTCTTCTCTCTGATGAAAAATATAAGAAATATCTAAACAGTCGTAGTGGGTGGGGAGTTCCAGTAACGCCCCTTCGCCTTGCTGCCTCCAAAGGTTCCCTGGATTGTCTAAAGATTCTCTTGTCCAATGGAGCAGAAGTGGACATACTGGATGTGAAAGCTCAAACTCCACTCTTTGCTGCCGTCAGTTCTGGCCATTTTGACTGTGTCAGAGAATTACTTAAAGCTGGGGCTTGCCCTTCCGGAAGTGTCTATAATAATGGCTCTCCTATACTGACAGCTTCCAGGGAAGGCAACATGAGCATTTTAAGGGAGCTCCTAGAGTATGGTGCATGGTGCAGATCCTAATGTCAAGTGCAAATTACCTGACTGGGCAGCAAGTAACACCATTTCTACAGGACCACTATACCTCTCAGCTGTGTATGGCCATTTGGAGTGCTTTAGAACTCTTCTTTTTTATGGGTCTGACCCCAACTACAACTGTACTGATGAGAAAGTACTACAAAGGATAAAACAACCTAAAACTGTACTGGATGTATGCCTGAAACATGGGTGTAGGACATCATTTGTAAAGTTACTAATTGATTATGGAGCAAATGTATACTTGCCTGACCTCAACATTGCTAAGTCATTCCCTAATCATGAGGCAATGGAACTTCTAGCTAGAGAAAGAGGTAATTGCTAACATTTGAGTGCTTACACAACATTGTTTCCTATGTAAGAAATAAGAAATTCTTATAGCCAAAACATACCTTTTTAGTTTTGGATTAAGTGGGGAAGGGTTAAAACCCGATATTAGGTAAATTTGTGACACATGTCACAGGAAAGAGTTACCTTCACTTTCTGCCCTGAAAAGGAAATGCAAAAAAATCTCCCCAAAGTAAAGGGAACTGCATCTTAGACATTTGTCATATATCAACTTTTTAAATTTATGCAATGGCTTGGTAAATCCATAGGTGATCTTTTACTTAAATAGCCCCACTGAGCTGGATCTGGGAAAGCCAGGAATGGTGTCTATTGGAGACAATATCCAAAAGAACAAAAGAACCAATTTGAAAGACTGGGACATTAATGGTGCTTAATTTATCATACTGTATGCATACCACCATATTTAAAATATTGAAATAATAATAATTGAAAATATATAGGTGTGTATATGTTGAACATATATGTATACCTTGTATACGTATGTATATGTACCATTGGGGCTGGTCGTGGGGCATTCAAACAAGTCCCTGTGTCCCTGTAAAGTTGTTTGGCTGACCATACACTAGTAGAATTTCATTTGAAAGCTTTCATTTTAGGAAAGTTTTCTATTCAGTAGTGAAGTAAAATGAACATTCATTTGCAATCGCAATGAGCAGAAAATCCAAAGGAGCAGGATGGAAATTTTTAAATTTTGAATCGACATGGTTTTCATTCCAGGAATTACAATCAGGCCAAAATCGAACATTAAAAGCTGACAACATTTTTTAATTACTTTTTAAGAATTTTCTTACGAATGTTTGTTCAAATATCTACAAGTGTCTGGTCAGCTTTAGGCCCAGGCTTTAGATGGTGCTTGATTTTTATTCAAGTTGAGATTAAGCCCGTTCTGTTCAAAGAACTAAGTCCATTCTCTGTGATTCAACCGTGATCATCCATCCAAATGTATAATGGGCAGTTGAATGACAAGCAGGGTTTAACACAAAGCAGGGGCAGTGTTTAATCATAACTTTGTTGAGTAGAAGTCATCCCAATGTACAGCCTAGGCCTAGAATCCACAGACATAGATATTGGTTTGAAGTCTTGGATAATATTGGATAACATGAGTAGCTACTGAATTTTTCGATTATGTAGCTAGCTGCATCCATTGCAAAACTCTACTGCTAAGTCACTGAGGTGACACAGACCTTTCATTGTCTGGATTTCATTTTTACTTAGCAAAAACAATTTATCAATATGGGGATAAATTATGTAGCTGATTTTAGTTCCTGCTGAAGGATGGCCCTGACACAGGCACTTGCAGCTCTGGTTGAAGGCTTTTCACAGTTTTTTTTATTTCGTGAAAGGTTCCCTGTGATTTTGACAATCTCTTTGTTTTCGATGGTCAGCTTTTATTCACATAGTTAAAACCATTTTCTCCAAAGGAAAACTGCTTCAGTGTTAGCTGGAGTTAGATTTTAATTTGTTAGTCACTTATGTAAAGTCGATCTAAATCCATTAGTCAATCCAACACTACCTTTGCCATAGGTTGACTGTCCAAGGGTGGCTACACTTCTACTTCATAGATACTGTGGAGTGAGTATAGCCACTCTAAGACAGGATGTTGCTGGCTGGATCACCAGGTGAGAATAAAAAAAAAAGCCTAAACAAAAAAAAAAAGTAAACTCCACCTATGGACTGTTGAGCGTCAAATTATCAATTTTTTAGATAGATACTGTATGCTTTAACTGCTCTCATCACAACAATTCTGTTAGAAATACAAAGCAGATTTAAGCCTGAAATTTTCCAGACTTCCTTAGGCCACAAAACAATTCACAGTGTTGTTGCTGCAGTAGTAGGCACTGTTTTAGTGCTTCACAGCCACATGTAACCCTGTATTAGGGTCTTCATATTACATTTGCAGTGCAATGTATTAAAAGGGATGTATATTTTTTTTTTGTATACTTATCCTATGCTGACAGGAAGAGAAAGCAGTATGAGAAGAGGGGAGAAAGGCTACTGCTCTATCTTAGTCCAATGTCATCCATTATCACAGGAGCAATCTCTCAAACACTGAGCTCAGAGCTACTGCATCAAGGGAGAAAATGGCATGTGCAGTGTCTTGAATCAAAGAAAGGGCTTACGTGGAGGTGAATAGTAATAGCTGGATGTGTCTTAGCAACATTCTAGCAACAGGACAGGATGGAGAGACGCAACCTCTGGGAGTTTTGCAGTCAGTCCTCTTGAGGTATATAAATGGCCTACACCCTTTAGCAGGGCATTATTCAACTTTGGTCAAAGCTGCACAGTTGTTTATACCTACAGTTGCCCCTTATCTGCATAGGCAGTTTTTTGATAAAGGTGCATTTAAACACTACTGTACTCTTTTATATGCTTTTGAGAGGAGACCTGACCACCAATGTGCCAGAATAGTGGTCCAGACAAACCTTTTTTCAACCAGGGCGCCTAGACACCATAAGGTGCCTTCTGAGTTCTTCAGGGGTACCTTGACAAGATGCCTAAACATTGCCCCAAATTGCCAGTGGGTGGATCAAGCCTGCCTTTTGGCTATAGGCTATAGGTTTTCATTGTGCACCATTGCAATCATGGGCACTGTGTTGGCTAGCTGCCAGCATCCTAACAACTGCTGAAGTCATCAGTTGATAAGGAGGATGTCTGGCACTTGCACAGCATCCTTGTTTAACCCCCCCCCCCCCCCGCCCCCTTCTGTGGGCTGACATTAGCTTGGTGGTGGAGAGAAAATGAGGGCGGACAAATGCTGAAATACTAGTCTGTACCACTGTGCAAAAGTGTATTTTTTCTGCAAGAATAAATAATCTCTAATATTGGGTGTCCTACCTGTGTACATGTTGCTCCAATATGTATAACTTTTAGGGGTGTGGTAAAATTGTGCATCATTTTAAAGGGTGCCTTGACTGGAGAAAGGTTGAGAAACACTGAAAGATATTGGGTACCCATGTTAAGTGGACCACACTTGTCAGTTGGGCACATGTTCAGTGCAAGACAATAGCAGAACCGTCAGTAGGAAGGGGGTTTGGGGAGCAGTGTAGTGGAAGGGGATGCAGAGATGTGAATTTAAGGGCTTTGGAGCTTGGGAGATGACAAGAACTGAGCAGAATGACTCAGCATGATGACATGGGCCCTGTAACCTAGAGGGAACAACACACTTAAACTGAAGGAAGGATAGTGTTCCTGGAATACCAAACTGGCAACAAAGCTACTTTTTAGGGACATTATTTCTACCAAATTGTACCTTTAAAAGCAAAACTAGTGCTAAGGATATAAAAGAATCACATATTTGCCTTTTTGCAATCTCTTTACAGTGCACCCAAAGTCTTTGATGTCACAGTGTCGCTTGAACATTCTGAAGTTGCTGAGACAAGCAAGAAAAACGCATCTTCTTGACCAACTGGGGATTCCTCAAGCTATGATCAAATATCTATTTCACCAGACATGATGGAATACCGTAATGGCAGAAACAATAAGAAACATTAGACTTGCAGCGTCAGCGGATCATAATTTGTAACTAAACAGAGAATTTAAACATGGAACTGCATAATTAGCATTCTAAACTGTGTGGTTTGGTTGGACATGTTTATACAGAAGGTGGACATAATAAAAGAAATACTTAACAACCCATTAAAATTTACTATCTCCTAAGGAGCAGAGCTGTCCATTGCCTTGAACAGTCTTGAAATTGTGTTTTACAAATTCTAAATTGTGTGCAATTAAATACTACTCCAATGATAAAAAAAAAAAGTTTAAGCAGTAAAGACTGGGGATTGAGAAAGTGTGAAATCTTTTCTGCACTCGAGATTGACATCATACTGATGTTCATTAAAGTGGTTGCAAAGCCTCCATTTTTTTTAACCTTCATTCATTCTATACATGAAGGTAAAAAAACCTTCTGTGTGCTGCTTCCTCCACTCACCTGAGCCCCCTCTGGATCCAGCAATGTGTACTGGAGCTTTGGCTGTCCCGTAATTATCTCTCCTCATTGGCTAAAGCACAGCAGCTAGAACCATTGGCTCCCACTGCTGTCCATCAAAGTTAGTCAGTCAATGAAGAGAGAGCAGGGGTGGGATGATCCACTGCTCTGTGTGTATTATGGACGCATAGAGCGGGGCTCAGGAGAAAGCACGCACCAGTTCTCCCAGCGGCTTGCTATTGGGGACACTGGTCATGGCAAAGGAGCCAGGAGCGCCCCAAAAGAAGAAGATCGAGGCTGCTCTGTGCAAAACCAATGCACAGAGCAGATAAGTATAACATGTTTTTTATTAAAAAAAAAAAAAAAAAAAACACTGAACCTTTTGATATCACTTTAACACAATCTAGAGTGTGTCTAAAGCTGAATCTTGGTGTTTACAAAAGGCTAAGGATGCTATTGCCACCTCCGTGTGAGTGCTGGGGTTCTGAGCGGCCAACCGCTACTTGGTGGAAAAAGAAGTGAGTCATATGCATCCTGGAAGCTCCAGGTATCTCTCCTTACTTCCAGTAGCTGAAGTATGAGAGACTTTTAAAGGAAGAAGTCAGATAATCCTACTGCTTTTTCCTGTATTGGCAAAGTACAGGATCACTTTAAACCAGGGGTGTCCAACCTGCAGCCCATGGGCCGCATACGGTCCAAGACAATTATGAGGGTGGGCCAACGCGAAATCATAAACTTTCTTAAAATGTTGATTTCTTTTGGAATTTTTTGTAAAATAAAAATTCCAAAAACCCCCACAAAATTGTAAACTTACCTAAAAATGTTAATTTTTTGTGAGGGGGAAATTTTTGTAAAATGCGTTTACACTTAGTGAACACATGCTGCTGAAGAACAAATTGACAATGTCTCTTTACTGGACTTTTTTTCCAAAGTAAAATACCCACCCTCCACAATCACACGTTATTCATCTCATCAGTTTTCGGCAGCACCTAAATTTTTGTGAGCAACTATTTTCAAGGATGAAGCACATGAAGGGCAAAATTAGAATCAAAATATCTAATGAGTACTTTGAGAATTCTTTGAGAATTACTACTACATCCATCAAACCAGATATTGATGCTTTAGGTTTATCAAAAACTGTCAAATATTGCACTAGCTTTATGTAGCCCTCTTTTACTTTTATAATAAAAAACATATTTTTAAGTTTTATAGGTGCATTTTCTATATCAATGATTGTTAACTTGTGATCTGCCCAACTTTTTCTAATCATCAGCAATCCTTATTGTTAGGATATTTTATGTGTGACCCAAGACAATTCCTCTTCTTCCAATGTGGCCGAGGAAAGTCAAATGGTTGGACCCCCCTGCTTTGAAGCATACTTTAATCTTAGATCTTGGTTGTATCTTTAGAAAAGTCACATTAACCAAATAACAAAGTGTGAAATGGCCCATTCATTTTATAGCTGCCACATACTGGCTGGCAGTCAACCTAATTTGATACGTTTTAGCGTTTGTATTTTTTAAATTCAAATTTGAAGAAAACTTGTCCCAAGAAAAATATGTGAGTTGTCATTGCTGACCTCCTTTTCAAAATGCTAGTTGTCTGGCTGTCTTTAGCACCAATACTTTCAGAGTCTCTGACCTGGCAACAAAGCTACTTTTTAGGGACATTATTTCTACCAAATTGTACCTTTAAAAGCAAAACTAGTGCTAAGGATATAAAAGAATCACATATTTTCCTGTTTGCAACCTAAGAATGAATGATGAAGAAAATATGCGGCACACTCAGTGCAGTTGTGAAAATCTCTGTGATTAAATCATGCTGAATATTGGGTGTGGCTTAAAGAAACATGGTTAAAAACATACATACGGTATAAACTGCACCCAGTCGGCAGAGTGAGAGTCTTGCATAAACCTAATATCCAAATAAAAAGATCCTGCAACATGTGTATACACAGAGTGACAGAGTACAGTGTAAGTCCTGCTATGTGCATATCGACAGATACAGTCAGGGGCTAAGGCAGGCCTGGATCTAGGGAGGTGCTGGGGAGGGCTACGCCCCCCTTAAATTTTAGTTGTGCCCCACCCACCCAAGTCTCTAAGAGTACATCCTCTGATCCATGAGGCAGGGAGACATTTGATCTAAGGGGGACTTTGATGGAGACATTTGATGTACGCGTCACTCTGATGGATGATATAAGATGGAACTCTAATGGAGCATTTGGCATAAGGGGGCACTCTGATGGGGGCATCTGATGTAAGAGACACTCTGATGGGAGCAATTGATGTAATGGGGCACTCTGATGGGGACAGTTGATGTAATGGGGCACTCTGATGGGGACTCCTAATGTAAGGGGCACTCTGATGGTGACACCTGATGTAAAGGGGCACTCGGATGAGGACCCTGATGTAAGGAAAAGCTAGTGAATGTACCTTCACTCTGATTACAGAAACCCAGCAGGCGTTCTAGCATTTAGCTGCAAGAGGCAGCCCCACTGAAAGCAATGGGAGACTGACGGCTCCCGCAGCTAATTGCGGCCATTCGAATGTAATTGTTCATACAAAAATCACATGTGAGTGATTAACCCCAGTTGCAGGTAATATAATATTAAATTTATTAGTTAAGGAAAAATAAAGGTAGAAAATGCATGCCAAATTGTGTATTTTTGTTTCTTGCATTAATCATGTCAGTAATTTGAGATATGTCTGTAAAAGTGGCCATAGATGGTTTGGCCAAATGGGTTGCTAATCCTTGTGTGTACGGGTTAAACATGCCATACAAATATGTTCTCCTAAAACATATACTGGAATCTTAAAGTATAGTTATCCTTTAAATGATAACTTACTCCGATAACTTATATCCACTGGAAGCTTCACACGGTCACTGAACAATTTCTCAATCCATTATGGCTACGATATCCTTTCAAGTATATGAGAAGTCACTGTGCAAGCATGTCCAGCACCAAATTTTGGGAAGTGAACATCAGAAGAGGCCACCCCTGTTATCATAAGGCAAGTAAAAATCTGGATGGAGGGTTTCTATGTTTGATTAGGTTAGGGGGCTAGAGTTGGGGTTTTTTCTATTTAGAGTTGAATTTAAAGGAGTTCTATGGCTATAGCATACCCTTACATTTTATAACATCAGCACTGTTAATAACAATACAAACAATTATTTTTGACAGTCTATAAAATGCTTACTTGAAAAATCTCCTTTTATGTAGTGAGTTCTACCTGTCTACTGGTCATCTTTCCACAACCTGCTGGATTCCCTATATGCAGGAGTAGGCAACCTTTGAGAGGTAGAGATCTACCTGGACAACATGGTAGAGATCAAAGATCACTAGGTTTGGCACCATCATTTTTTTAAGGAACAAGCCTTCAATAAAAATTAAGGACAAGGATGGCACAGTGAAAACTTAGAAAAATATAATAAAACTAATATCACTGTTATATTATAACCTTAAAAATTTGCTTCAGTGACCCCCACAAGCCTGATACAGGAGTCCATCATGAAGGCAGAACCACTGGAACTGCAGGCTGACTTGCTCAATTAGTTTTAGGCCTTTCTAGCCTGGCTGTCTTCTCTGAGTTCTGACCACTGTAAGTAGTATGTATGGCAGTGTACAGAAGTCAGTATTGGGTAGGGCAGTGTAGAAGAGTCAGTAGTGTGAACGGCAGTTTACAGAGGTCAGCAGGATGTATGGCAGTGTACAGGGGTCAGTGGTATGTAGGTCTTTTGTACAGAGGACAGTAGTAGGTAGAGCAATGTACAGAGATCAGTAGTATGCAAGGCAGTGTACCGAGGGCAGTAGTAAGTAGGGTAGTGTACAGAGGTCAGTAGTATGTAGGGTAGTGTACAGAGGTCAGTAGTATGTAGGGCTGTGTACCGAGGTCAGTAGTAAGTAGGGCAGTGTACAGAGGTCAGTGGTATGTAGGGCATTGTACAGAGGTTAGTAGTAAGTATGGCAGTGTACAGAGGTTAATAGCATGAAGAGCACTGTACAGGGAAATGTAGGGCAATGGACAGGGGTGAGCAGGACAGGGGGTCAGCAGGGCATTGCACAGGGGGGTCAGGAGGGCATGGTACAGGGAGCCAGGGTGACATGGTACAGAGGGGTCAGGAGGGCACATCGCTCGTTTGTCAGGAAGGTACACCGCTTGAGGGGGTCAAGAGGGTATAATACTGGGGGGGTCAGGAGGCTACACCACTGGGGGGGTTGAGAGGGTACACCACAGGAGGGGGTCAGGAGGGTACATCACTGGGGGTTCAAGAGGGTACACCACTGGGGGGGTCAGGAGGGTACACCACTGAGGGGGGTCAGGAATGCATACAATGGGGGGGGGGGTCAGGAAGGAACACCACTGGGGCCTCAGAAGGGCACAGAGGTGGTTTCAGAGCAGCACATTGTTTTGTGTTAACTGTTCTAGTGCTGATCCCAACCAGCCCTCCTCTCTCTTCCATTCCACATGATGTCATCCACAAGTGCCTGGATGAACTGAAGAGGAGGGCAGGCTGGGATAAGCATAGTA